CAGTTTAAGATTTTAAAAAGATTTTGTTGAATATGTCTATGAACTTATGTTTTGAAAGTTTGCAGTAGGATTGTTAAGTTTGTGTAAGCTAGCAGGATTTTGAAAAGCAAAAATATAACTGTGTAAATTCATGCTTTAGAAAAGGAATTGTTTTTGAAGTATAAACACTTTGCTATGTTCAAAAGTGGAAACCAGAATTTATGTCGTTACAGTAAGTTTAAAAAGAAAATGATGATATAGTTCTTTAAGAGAAAGAAACTTATGCTCAGACTGCTACAACATTCTATATAGCATTTTAAAGAAAATACTACAGCATTATAAAGAAAAATACTACAGCATTCTATATATATAGCATTTTAAAAATAAAATGCTGCAGCATTCATACAACATTTTAAAAAAATGTTGCAACATTCTAGGTAGCATTTAAAAAAAAGTCTCTCAAATTTGGAGAGTTTCAGAAATTATATGTTAAAGTTAGTTACAGTGACGGCCAACTCAGTAAGGTCATTACACATATTGGGCACCGAGAAATAGCCATAGAGGAGAAAAGCGCACTCATGAACCCTAGGACTTACAGGAAAGAAACAGGGAGGTTGGTGGAAACCCTAATTTGTTGACATGTTTAGACATTATAACGGAGCGCATTAGAAATTTACATGAATTAAGGACATTAAATTGATTCATTTAGAGTGTTGGCTAAATCTTTATGTGTCTTCTATTTTTTTTTTTCTCTTTTTGAGTTTTACTCTCATGATAAACGGTATATGATTAGACCAAAGGTACAAATGGAGTGGTTTTGTTGGTGTTTTTTAATGTGTGTGATTGATTCGCTTGTTTTGATTCTTTGATAGTGTAAAGAGAAGGGAAAGGAGTGGGACTTTTTCTTTTCCCTTGTTATTTTGATCTTCAAGAATTGTGAATGATATATTAGTTCATTTTTATTATTGACAGGGGCTAAAGTGATCATTTTACTCAATACATATCAGGGTAGATGCTAAAAGTGATAATATTTGAGCCTATGATACTTTATTATTACATAAAAAAATCAAATATTATTTTTTTTACCATTGAAATATAGTTTTAAAATTTTATCGTTCAAATAATTAATTTTTTCAATAATTAAATTATTTTTTATTTTTTTAATTAATTAAATATTGAATTATTTATGATTATTAATCAAGAATATTTTAGTCAAAATACAATTTACTTCCATTCTATTCCGTTGTCAACCAAACAGCATAATTCTCATTCAGGTATTGATTCCATAACTCCAACCAAACTTAAGAATCAGTTTATGATTCAAGCACATTCTAGTTCCATTCCATTACCATTCCTATTATCATTCTCATTACCATTCTGCCACTGCAACTAAACGTACCCTCATAGTTGAAGCGTTTCCATTCCTTTTTTATCATGTGAATCACGTGCTCTCATGCTACTTCCATGGAACAAATTACCCTTCTAAATTTTTAATTTTGACAATCAATTCTCCGAACTTGTAAAATTGTTGCAATGTGTCCCATTTTACTAAATTTGCTCAAACATTTTATTAGATCTAAATGATTAAAAGTTGTGAATTAAAAGATTTATGTTACATTTGAATTGGGATAAAATTTTTTATCGAACGTGCTTTATTTTTGACACTAATGCAACAATTTAACAAGTTGAGAAGGCAACTTGTTAAAATTAAAAATTCATGGGCAAAGTGCTAAAACCATACAGATTCAAGGAGTAAATGCGTAAAATACTCCTAAATTTTTGTTGATTCACACTTGGACATATGCTAGTCCTTTTCAGTAGTGTACGTATAAACTCTGTTTTAAATCATCAAAATGGTTCTATCTGTTTTGCATTTTTTTGGTTGTTTTCATGTAATTTTGATCAAATTTAACATTAAGAAACATGCACAAAATAGGGTGTCTTCTTGCAAAAAGCTCCAAAAATATTTGGAGTTTATATTATATAAGATTATAGGCTTTTTCTACTATTTTTTCAGAGAGATGGTCCCTCCAACGTAATACGTGACATTATTAAACGTAAAGTTAATGTAGTGTTAATCACCAATAAGTTTAGTCATGCAAAACTATGTTTCAAATTTTCAACATCAATGATATTACGTTTAATGAATGTCATGTTACGTTTTGCATTTCTAGATATTATTTTGTTAAGAACCCTCGCACTACAAGAGAGAGGGCTATTAGCAACGACAAAAAGTCGTTGCAACAAATTCAAAGTCATTGTAAATGAATTTTTAGTGACCATTTGTCGTTGCAAAACTGTCGCCGTAATTGAGTATTTACGACGACATTTTGTGAATTAAGTCGTCGCAAAAGATGCAGAATTAGCTGGCGTGGCTTATATTTTTTACGACCACATTTGTCGTCGTAAATAATATTTTAATTTTTTATTTATTTTTTCTCATTTTAATAATTAATGTTGTGTATTACTATATATTTAAACCCAATATTAAATATAATTCATGATATTATAAAACAAAAAAAGAATTAAATAAAAGGAAATAAAAAATAAAAAATAAAAATAAAAATTATTATTGTAAAAATTAATTTATAGTAGAAATGTGCGGAAATAAAAATTGTTACATTAATAAAAATCTAATCTCCTAAATTAGCAGCATCACTAGAATCATCGTCGTTATCATCAGAAATATTCGGAGGCGGATGACCTGGACGGACATACGGCACAGGACGAGTAACCGCTGGGAAAGTCATGTTGGGGTGCATTTGAGTGAAGAAGTCCTGCATCATTCTGACACTCTCATACAACTAGAGGTTTTGCTGGTAACTCTGTTGCAAGTGTTCTTCTACGTGTGGGTTAGAACGTGTCGTAGAAGATCTTACCGTGCGTGAGCCAGATGAGGACGCATCCCCTCGATAAACCTTTTGTGGGAGTGTGCAACCCACTCCAGTCTTGTGTCCTCTGTGGGTGCCTAGAAATTGGTCCATAATATCCTCCTCGTTAACTGCTCATGTTGTGGATGATCTAGAAGTAGCCGACTGCGTTTGGATATGCGTTTCTCTTTCTCTCTCCATCCGTTGCTACAAATATTATAAGAAAAATAATTAAATACATAATGCGATTTAAATAAAAAGATATAATTAAACATTACAAGTATACTTATAAAAGTCTACTCAACTTGGGGATTAACCCAAGTATCCCCACGACGATGCATGTCCCCCAATTATTCGCTTCAACATTTCATCCGTGCACTCATTAGGCCACTTGTACAATACTTTTAGATGCATTAGTTTCACTAAGAAATTCAATGATGAATACTTATTGCAACCCGGATACAATCCGACTTGGAGCTCGGATAAGAGATCCCTAAATTCATCGTAATGAGTATCTTCTATAACTGTTTCTGTCTCACCCATTGTCTCATGATCATCACTAATGCTAGCCACATCATTTCGCACTGTAAACATCTCGTCAACAGGTTCACTGACAACTACAGCAGCAGCAAGTACTTCACCATGGTGAGTCCATGTGGTGTAACATATATCAAAACTCCATCAATGTATGTGCGCTTTCAGTGTTTCTGGTGGCAGCATCTCATGATTTCTACACTTGATACAGGGACAACTAATACCCCCAGTTGAATTTGCATAATTCTTTCCAACCTCAATAAAAGCACACAAACCATCTCAGTACTCATCAGACAACCGGTTCCTTAAATGTATCCAACTCTTGTCCATAGGCATCTCCACTACGAAGAATTTATAAAGTTTTAAATTTCATGAAAATTAATATTAGTTTATTTAATTATTTTATTAGTAATGTAAAACTAATTAAAATTTTATTCTAATTTTTTTAATCATCAAATAAATTTCATACAAATTTCAATCTAATTACCACATAGTCCAATTTCAATTCTAATTTACAATTCACAATTCTAAATCCAAAACCACAAACTAAATTCAAAATCCAAAACAAAACCACAAACCACAACCAAAATACCAAAATCAATTTATAAAATACTAAAATATTAACTCACAAAATCCAAACCCACAAACACCGAGGGTTGGAAAACGGTATTGCAGCAGGGCTGGAAGGGCGACAATGGCCGGAAAATGACGACGACGGTCGGAAAAGTGGGTGGCGAGGGAGAGATGAAAACTCCGCTCTTTTGGACTTTTTTTCTCCACAAATGAAAGATTTGAGGAGAGAATGATAATACTAAGCTATTTTCAGTGTTTTTGGATGGAGAAAATCAGAGAAAACCGAGAGGGTCACCGAAAAAAATAGAGAAAAGAGTTTTGCGATCGCGTTTATATAGGTGACTTTTTGCGATGACAAATGTCGTCGCAAAAAATATTAAATAGTCGTCACAATTAATATAAAAATGACGTCGTTCTTCTTCACCTCATTAATATTTCTAAGAATATTCTTGAGGAATATACCCGTACACATTATTTGCGACGACTTTGTTAAGATATCATCGCAAATAATTTTAAGGAAACTGCCAAAGTTTCTACCTTTTTTGTGGAAAATTGAATTCCCACTTATTTACGACGACATTATTAAACAAGTCATCTCAAAAAATAGTCGTACTTGATAGAATTTTCTAGAACCCTTATTTGTGACGACACGTGTCGTCACAAAAACAGTCGTTCTGAAAAGAATTTTCTGGAACCATTTTTTACGACGACTTTTCAATATGTCGTCGCAAAAAATAAAGAAATATATGTAACCTATTCGCGGAAAACCGCTAAATTTTCCGCATCTTTTTTGCCACGTTACCGCCAGCTGTACGTATCGATATTTGTGACGACATGTCGTCACAAATAATGGACAAACTGGCGTCACATTGATTTTGGTGCCAACGGCTATTAGTGATGACATGTCATCGTGAATAATTTGTCAAATTTTAGTGACGATATGTGGTCGCAAATATTGAAATTTTGTGTAACGACATGTCGTCGTAAATAGTGAATGCGACAACAAATCATTCAAAAATTATGGCATTTTTATTTACATTAAGATTTAAAGGGAGAAATTTGATTGGTATGTACCATGGTTTAATCTTATACGAAGTACAAAGTATCAAAAATTCTGGGAAAAACCAAAGTACATACAGGTCAGGGAGGAGAACACACACACACACAACTTTCTAGCATAAAAGTGGTTTTTTTTTTTATATAAAAAGCATACTATTGTACTTGAACTATATATTAACAATCGAGGTGATTCTACATTAATATCAACACGAATCCGATAATTAAGCACAACGTAATTATTTTCTTTAATGATGTATATTACATGGGTACACGTTCATAAAACATGGATTTCATATGCTGCTCAAGGCTCGGAAGGCGTTGGTTGTCATCATAACTATACATCAATGGAACCAATCTTGCAACATTAAGACAAGCCTTTAAGAATGTCGCAGGAAGTGGATTTGGAGAAAGACACTCTTTGTTGAGGCACTTCCAAGCATCCGAAATCCTTTCAGTTATGTTCTGTCGTGCCTCTTCAATTGAAGAGCCTTGTCTTTCCTTCATGTAGCACTCCACATATGATCCATCATGGCCTTCTTGATTCTCATCCTACAATAATAAAAATAATAATAATAATATATGAAAATTCTAATTTCTAATTCTCTAATATTTGCACTCATGTGACGTGCATTCCAAATTATGGCTTGGACGCATAAATTTAATTTGATCCCGATTTGAATCATAATGTTATTTCCAAAGCTGTGGAGCCTTCGCTGCCTTCTTGGAATATCTCCAAAGCTGTGGAGCCACCTTTTGCTTTCAAGTGTTCTTTAGATTCTGTCGTGTTTAGCAAAATATATATCACATGACTTTGTAACTATTCGCGGCACATAATTTAGTTTAGTGATTTTTGCTATTCCCCCAATCTAGTGGCTTTCCTCTTTTCTTTTGCTTAATGAATGAGGTTTTTCACCCCAAAATAATATAAAAAATAAAAAATAAACAACGATCAATCTCTATTACATATGAGACGTCGGGCGACTAATGTAGTTGGGTTTGCTCCGCAACTTGACTACATATGAACCACACAAGTTTTGTCCCACCAGACAGCAGTACATGTGTTACACGTGAATTAGTGGTTTATCATCTTGTTCTTTTGTTGATGCATTATCGTGATTTTTTCTACTTTGCTACAATAGAAAAATGTATTCTTTTTATGTTTGGTCACTTTTACAAAGAAAATGACACATAAGGAAAAATTACTAGCTAGCACCAAATTAGTACGTAAATTGCAAACATATTGGTTAATTATCAATTTGGTGATATATCGGTAGCAGCTTATATAATTAACGTTGATTATATATATATATATATATGATCATGAGTTATATTATATACCTTGGCACTTCCCAAGTCATCCCAAAGCCTAAGAATTGCTGCTGTGGAAGTTATAATCCCAGGCATTTTGTCCACAAAGTCAACGGTGTCTTGAGTTATACTTTGACCCAGCAGAAAAAACACGTGGACCAACACCACATGCACTCCTGAGCTAACCACGCCGTTCCTCAAATACTCTTCTGTCTTTGGGACTTGCCCGGATGCAAACCATTTTGCTTCCACTAAAAACGCATCGCACAAAGTGGCCCACTGCGCGCAGATTAATTATTATGATTAGAAACACACCCGAGTCAAAATGTGAGACATGGGTCATGAGCATCACAACATCTAATTCGACTTAAATATGATTCGTGATGTAATAGTTTGATCACATATATATATATACATATACATATATATACACATGGATGAGTTCTATAATATATGTCTAATCCTATTCAACCTGAGTTAGGATGTATAGTACTGCTCTCGAATAAAAATTATATACAAAATTTACCGTCTTTCTAAGAGAGTGCGACGGGTTCCATCCATGCTCTTGATAGACCTTGTGGCTGATTTCATTAGTTAAATTATCAAGCGCTTTGAAGCATATCTTCATGTGGTGAGGAAGTTTCTCCACAGCAGTAATGTCCCATCTGAAATTCGATATGGAAATAATTCATCATAAATTAATGGCTAATCACTATTATCCTTGTTAATAAATAATAATTATTGCCAATTCAAACCTATTGATTGCCTCGGTGAAGAGAGTGAGTTCGTCAAGGTTCCCATAAACGTCAAAAAGATCATCTATTACATATATGAACGCAATAGGTTTTGTTAGCTCAACCCTGTGCTGCGACAAGCTGGGATCTGTTAGGCATCCCACGGACCAAATGTACCATTTAAGTGGCTGGTCTCTCGCAAATGTCAACTCTTTAGCCAAACCTATGTCTCTCCACCACCTAATTAATTAAAATTGTTCACAAAGACAATTATCAAAATAACTAATAAAAAAAACTAATATTGATAATTCATGATCAAATAATTATATCCCAAGCTGGCGTTATCATGAACGTCTTTTTTATTTACGAATTTCAGAATTCTTCGACTTAAATAGACGAGAAATTTGTAGAACATTTATGTTTGTCTATTCAACAACTTTTTCTAATTTAAAAAAAACAAAAAAAAAAAACAAAAACTTACTGTGATATTTGAAGAATTTCCCTCTTGTGTAGGGACTGGACTTGATTGAATTCATATTTGGCAAGTTCTTGTAAGACATTTATCCATCCGTTGGCACTCCCAAAATGCGAAGTGGCACCGAAAAGGTTCTTGGCCGTGAACTTGGCCAAGGTTTTGTGGCACGGATACTCCAGTGTGTTTGCGATAGCTCTAGCCCGACGATGATCATCACCGAGGCATGTCATGGACGCCGTTAAGAGCTGACTACTAAATATGTTGGCTTCATCAAGAACATCCTCTCCTTCTATGCTCACATGTGAAGCTTCATATAGCTCCATCAACCCGTTCATGTCTTTACTTAGCTCTGTCTTGAAATTATTCCCTTTCTTGTCCTTCAACTTGTTAAATATACCTGAAATGCACAACACAATATGAAATTACGTTATACATATTATAACTAATTAGGATATATATTTTCAAGTAATTAATTGATTGATACGTCGAATTATCGTCCGAACCTGCAGGCACGAAGTAACCTTGTTGTCTCAAGAGTCGGAAACGAAGTGCAGTGTCATGAAGGTGATCTTCAATATTATGTTTGTTACTAGTGTAATGATCAAATGACATAAACTGGTTTCCCAGAATTTTTTCGATTTCTTCCTGAAAAAGGTAATCAATGCCTAGCCGTTGGATAGCATCGATCACCTTGAGAGCCTGATCAGATGGATCTTCTCCTGCTAATAATTTGCTGATAGCAATCTTAAAGACATCCAAATCCAGCAAATTATAATCAGCCAATGTATATGTAAATAATTAAGACAACTTTTTTCTTTATACTGGTAAGAAAAAATACATTAAAGACCAGCCAGAAACTCACTTTGTTATTGTAAGAGTGCTTTGATAGATTGTAGCTTTCCAAGGGAGTGCTACTAGAAAGCAAACTATTATGATCATATTGGGCAACGCTCCACTTTTGTGATGTACTAGGTTTAGTAACTAGATCAATATTATTATTGTTTCTAAGGATGGGGTTTTCAATTTTCTGATATGATCTGTTTTGAGAAACTGAGGGATATTGTTTAAAGGAAGCAGCAGAAGAGGCACAACAAGATAAAGCCATAGAGAAATAAAGATGGATACAAAATCTTAGTATTAGTATTAGGTTGAGGAGTTTGGAGGACTAAAGAGGGATATAATACGATTAATGTAGGAGAGAGGCCTTTATATAGAATATTGTAACCCTGAATGAAACAGTGGATTCGCCTGCCGTGTGCGAGGCCGGCAGTTTAGAGGACTAAAGATGGATATAGAATATTGTAACCCTGCAAGATGCATATTAAATGCATTTTTCACGTTTTAGAGCTGCGATATTAATGAAGTGTGTCCCTCCTTTTTCTTCTTGGCCGCTGATTATAATTTTGCCCATCGTGAAAATCGTTGTAAATAGCTGATTTTTATAATTAAATTAAGTAAATAGTATATTTTAAAATTATTTAAAGTAAGTAGTAATTTATTATATAAATAATTTATTTACGATTGGTAAAAAAAAAATTACGTGGTAAAAAACTTTAATTAGGTCAAAAAAAATCATTTTACCCATCATAAACGTGAAAAAAATCTTTTTATTAGTTGTAAATTATTTATGCGGTAAACAGTTATTTATTTTGAATAATTTTAAAATATGTTATTTATTTTATTTAGTTTTATAAATATGTTATTTATTACATTCTCTCAATAAAATCGGACGTGTTACACAAATTCGTCAAGCCCACAATTTTCCTTTGAGATCGAGTCTCGCAAGTACACAGAAATATAGCAAATTAGGAGCATTATTATGTAGGATGTAAATTCTATGGGAACATACATCTCTATCAAATGAAAATAAAATGCTGAAAGGAAAAGGGCCGCTTTTGCTTTTTTCAAAATGACCATTTTGTTGCTTTTATTTTTTTATATTTTTGCTTTTATTTTTTTATATTTTTGCTAGTTAAATGGTATTTGCACTTACTACATCGGGATAGCATTATTGTTAGTGCAATTATTTGGGTGATTCTACGATGGATAATAATAGCCTATTTTTGGAGTTTCTGAACTCAGATATCATCTTTTTCTTTATTGTTAAAACTAGTTTTTATCGCGATTCATTTAAAATAATGATTATGTAAATTATTATATAAAAAGAGATAGAAAAAAAGACATAAAAGAAATGAAGATAAAAGTAGAAAAACAAATCTGAAGCAAAAGACGGGAGAAAAGATTTTAATTTATTTTGTTACTTTTTAAATTAATTTTAATTTGTTTTTTATTTAATTTAATATGCATTTATTTTATTTTAATGTATTTTTGTTTAATTTATTTTTTATTTGAATTATTTACAATAATTTTATCTTTGTAATATCAGAAATTTGATGCAAAACTGTATTAAAATGGACAAAGTCGGATCACAAATAATTGAAAATAATAAATATAATAAATAATACTTATTTAAAAATTAAATCGAGATTTTTTTAACATTAGCGGCTCCAATTGGTGCGTGGAAGACACGCGCAGACAAGGGCGCATCGTTGGTTGGCGTGGCAACTGTCCGCGTTTCGTGGTAGGGCCCGCACGTACTCCCGCGGTGAATAAGACAAGAACACTTGGTTTGGCTGTCGAATTATATTTCCGCGTGTGATTCATTACGTCTCGTTTTGTGTAAGCTCATTTTTTTAGCGTACAAAATGTCGACGCTTGGGTACTATGTAGCCAACTAATTATGATCCGCCACGTGGATCCATCTTTAAAGACACTTCAATCAGAGTGCGATGCGTGGAGTTGAAGTAAGCTTAGCTCGTGAATCATATGGCGACGAATGCGTGGATAAAATTATTTTGGTATTATCTGTTATAGTAAAATATATCCTTAATAATATATGTTTTTCATAATATTAAAGTACCTCAATATTTTTAAAAATGTCTTCTTAATACCTTTAAGTTAATTTTTAAAATATAAAATTATCTTAATATTATTCTATTTAATTAATAAAAAACTTATAGATCTAAAAAAAATCACGAACCTTTTCATTTTGTTGTTTTCTTTTAAATATTTTATTGTTCTAAAATATTTTCAGCTTTTTAAAAAAAAATTCTTGACGCCTCTTTTATTTATTTTTTATTTTAGTCTTTTTTACCCCTTCTTTTTCTTTTTGTTTTGAAATTTCATTTTATTTTTCGTTTTTAGTTATTCTTGCCCTACATTTCTTTTTTTTTTTTGCCCTTTTTTTCTATTATAATTTATATAAGAGCAGTTATGTCAAAATGAAAGTAAACTTGCTTAATTCTATAATATTTGTGGACTCTAACCAAACAAATAAATTATTTTTTTTTTTCATTCTATTTCATTACCATTACTATTATAATTCTCATTACTGTTACTATTCTACCACTGCAACTAGACGTACCCTCATTATCAACGTATAAAGAGTTAAAAATTATTTTACCAAAATTAGAAAAATTAAAGACTATGTGTGCGTTTGGAATTAGTTTCTATTTGTTTTTGAAAACATATATGCACATCTTTTACTTTTTTCCTTTCATTTTTAAGTTTTAACTCCATTATTTTTTAAATTTTTTTATTTCATAATTTATGTTCATCCTACGGTGGTTTAAAACGGTAAGTTTTTAAATGTTTTACTTTTTTTCCTTTCATTTTTACATTTCAACTCCTTTATTTTTTTATTTTTTTTTTTTACTTTGTTATCTTAAATTTAGAATGTTTCACGTATTTCTATGATTAAACATAACTTTTTCACTTAAGCTACTATTACTATATACTTCTTTAAAAAAAAGAAAAAATAATGTGTGGGGGATTTAAACTCTACATTTTGTGGTGGAGTTAGGTGTGCAAATTTTGTTATGACTACTTAATAATGTATACTTTTTTTAAATCTCTAAGCAATAATTTTTGTCCCTTTTTTCTTGCTTATTGTTGTTTGTATTTTACATTATAAAAACTTTAATTATAACTAAATACGTGCATCATCGCACGTTCTAAAACTAGTGTATATTAAAAGGTAACAAACTAACAATCTTGGATCTTACAAAAACCAAGGAATTCAAAATGTCAAAAAGATGATTTCAAAAAAAAAAAATGTCAAGAAGATGATTTGCGTCTGCATGATATCTTTGTATGTTCTTGTGTCCCCTGTTCTTTAAAACTTATTAATGGCTATAGTTGTTGTGTTTTCTTCTGTGTAGCTTTGTCTTGCCTTTCTTCTTACAACTTCCTTTTTTTTAGGTAGTGTTTTAATTATCTTTGTTTTGAGTGGTTTCTCTTTCAAACACACCGCCAAATCTTTGTGGTATTACTTCTGATTGTGGTTGCCTTATTATTGAGATGAACTTATTATTGAGATGAACTCTTGTGCTAATAATTCTACTAAAAATAGTGGATTCTCTCATCCTCACAGTAGACGTAGCTCATGATTAAGAATGAACCAATATAATTCTCGTGTGTTCTTACTATTTTGTGGTTTTTAAATCGTGTTTAAGACTGTAAAATTTGCGCAAAACAATTTCGAAGTTGATCATATTTTTGGTGACGAATTTTCACGGTCAACCTATTACATGGCCAAATTTTTGTGGTATTACTTCTGATTGTGGTTCCCTTATTATTGAGATGAACTCTTGTGCTAATAATTTAAACCATGTTCATCTTGATGCTTTAGCAACGGAAAAAAAAAGGCGTTGATTGTTGGATCAAAAAAGAAAGAAAAAGAAACGAATTAAAACGAGCCAAATAGTAGGCTCTCCTCTCTTGTTTTGGTTTAGGTATTGGAGAGGGTGCATAGATTTAGTGGATGTTTGATTTACGGATTTAGAGTTATGATTCAGAATCATTTTCGGTTTACGTGTGTTTTTTATGAGAGAAAATACTGTAGCGAGCTACGAATTATGATTCAACCCATGACACAAATCCTCATACCAAACAAGATCTTAGTATTTTATACCTTCGCTTTTTCACTTCTAACCTTTTAATCACTTACTAATTCTTCAAATTTTATCTTGTTACTCTGTTATGTATCAAATGTTCGTCTGTTCTTTAATTGTTGTTGTTGCTGGTTACGGTCGCAATTAAAATCTGATGGTCATTTAACTCTTTTACTCATTGCTGCCACCGCTTCTTCTGTAATTTCTTGGTCCTTAGAGAAAATATTAATTTCTAATACTATATTTTGATTTCAGTGAATTTACTTCAGAAATTTCCTCAATATGGTATTAGAGAAGGTACCGTGTTTCTCGAAATGCAATGAACACGGACATGTACTTTTTTCAGTTTTGAAGATTACTTATCCATCTTTCTTTCATATTTTATATATATATATATATATATATATATATTGAGATTATCAACGATTTTGTAAAGATAGTCGATTGATGTTATTTTTTTATATGGAAGATTGTATAAACAGATTTTTAAGAAATTAATTGGGGATTCAAACTCTATTTATATTCTGTATTTCATCAGCCTATTGTGAATAACAAAATACACCAGTTTATCATATTGGTTTTTATGATATTAGAGCGGGAGATCTTAGGTTTAAACTCGCGTAATTACATTTTTTATTCACATTTAAAATTATCATCATGTATTGGGTCTTTAATATATCTCGAGCTTAAATATTCACGTGTTGAATTTTTTAATTAATTTACCCCACACGATTACACATTGTCTAGTCTACATGAGAGGGAGAGTGTTAAAATATAAAAATTATTATTGATCCACCTCTTAACAGTTTAAACTTTTAAAATGAATTGATAAATTAATAATATATATATATATATAGACACACATACATATTTACATTCTCCAAAATATGAGGCACAATTACAACATGATTTTCAGTTCCGCATTCAATAAACTTGTCCAACTGAACGTACACGAGATCCAACTAGTAAAACTAAAAAAAAAAAATGACCTTTTTTTAATTTTAGTTTTTATTAATTAATTTGATGGTTAATTAGTTTCAATTAATTAATGGTCAATTTTAATTTATTATTGAGTAATGTAATTATATGTTTATTACTGATTAATCACGATATAAAGTAAGTGGTTAACTAGCAAAAGATAACGATAGGAAGTGGGTTTTTTTTTTTTCAAAATTAAAAGGTTGTGCTATTTTGCAATGTATAAATATTTGTCTGTGTGTTATCAAAACAGGTTCG